TGGCCGCTCCAACATCACCTGGACCCAGCGCGCATCAAGCCGGACAACGGAGAAGGCGACCTCATGACATGAGCAGGGAACCGACTCTCCACGCGCCATATAGGAGGAGGGTGGAGCTCATCGGGGCAGGGGAGGCGCGTTGCGGGAGCCTCTGGATCCGGTGTGGTGCCCCGCAGGACGGGAAGCGGGGCGGTGGATCTCGCCGGCGCTGAGAAGGACAACAAGAGGGAGAAGGTTGAGGGGTCGATGCGACGCCCCTCTAGCCATGGCCATGGTATGGGTGGGGAGGGGAGCAGGCGAGCAGGGGAAGATGAGGGGAGCGCAATGTCGGCGGCGAGGTCGTCGGGGCTTGGCCGGCGTGGTTGTGTGCGCAGGAGGCGGCGGCTGCTTGGCCACAGTACGGGAGGGAGGGGATGGGTTGGGTGGGATGGAACCCTGACAGGTGGGCAATCGTTTGATTTAACAGTCAATGCCGTCTGTGTTGATCATTTAGTGCCACGTGGATCTGACCATGGGCCCGACATGTCAGAAATCAGATTAATTCTGCTTAAATCGGTCATAAGTGTTTATTGAGAAAATTAGCGGAAAATGGTGGATTTTTGCGACGCCCAAGGAATGTGGTGGCAATTCCAGAACTGAACTTCAAATGTGGTGGTTTTTTGCAATTCACTCTGATTTGGCTGGAGTCCCTCATTTGCTAAGTTTCTTTTGTTCTCATTTGTCCCCTACTTCCCCTGCTCAGATGTCATTTCTGGATCCCAAAATTTCAACTCCTCACATTTTAGCTCTTGCTTTGCAAGAAATGGATTTTATAATCACTTTTCGGCTTTCTTCTTATGCAGGAACCTTATCTTCTTTTGAGGACACACAAAGATTTGAATAATCTTCAGAATGACAAGAAAAACCTTTAGCTACATCTGCAGCTTGGTGTGTGTGCCGTCATTGGAAGATATGAACAGGTATACCTTTGTCGACGGGAGGGTACTCTGCCTGGAAGATCGAGTGGCCATTGCTCTAAGAATGTTGTACTCTAGCGAGCCACCGGAGACTTTAGGATCCTCTGTTGATGTAAACAAGTCAATCATCTTGTCGGTAACTGAGAGGTTTATTGATGCTGTGTTCAAACGAGCAAGGCACCACTTGTGCTGGCCAGACTCCAGTAAAATGGATAAGATCAAATCCATGTTTGGCAAGATCTACAATATGCATAACTGTTGCGGTGTTATATATACAACTCACATCCCATTTGGACCAAACCGCGACCATGAGAAAAATGGCAGCATTCAAATGCAAGTCGTCGTTGATACAGAGACAAGGTTCATGAACATTTGGTTGGAATTGGCAGATAGCATGACCCAGTTGAGCATTTTGCATGACTCTGAAATCTTTGAGGGGTGCGAGAAGCGTGATTGGCTGAATGGCAGCAAGCTGAAGGCAGCATTAGATGGGTCAGAAGTCAGGGAATACATAATTGGTGATGCAGGATACCCTCTTCTCTCATGGCTAATCACACCTTACCAGGAAGACCTCTCAGACTCCAAGGTAGAGTTCAATAGGAGACACTCTGCAGCCACAACCTGCGCGCCAAAGGCGCTGGCGTGGTTCCAAGATACATGGAAGTACCTGCAGGGAGATGCGTGGTGGCCGGTCAATCCGGAAACTATGTCTAAGATTATCTGTGCCTTCTGCATGTTGCATAACATAGTCATAGATATGGAGGAGGATGCAGCAGTGCAGAACATTGAGAATGTTCGCCGGTTGAAAAATGAAGATGCCGTCAGGGTAAGGGATATGCTGTTACAACACTTCTTGATTGGAAGGTCATCTGAATCAGGAGGTGAATTAACACATCTTAATTTGTTCGTTTTGTCGTTCTGTCTACTAATTTTCCATATTTATCTCCTCCTGTTGTTTCCCTCCTTCATCTCATTAGTTGGCTCAGTAGATACAGAGGAGGACGAAGAATTAGCTGCATCATTATCCAGAAGCTCATCATTATCCCAGACTCCTAGTGGCTCAGGAGATGAAGACAAGGAACAAGAAGCGCAGAGAAGAACAGATTGCTAAGCAAGTGGTCATTATCTAAAAGAAATTCTCTAGCATGCTGTGATTCGAGTCATGTATTCTCTCGATCCAGCAATATCGCAAAACTCCCTTCTTATAGGTATGTGAGAATCTTCAACTAAACTCCCCTGGCTTTATATCAATTACATAACCCCAGAAGAAAGGTAACTGATTCAACTGTTAGCTGTGTGCTAAGCAAAACATCAGTAGCTATTAACTGAGAGTCTTGTGTATTTCCCTCTCTGCTGACAAGTGCCTTAATTGATGGTATATTGAATAAGATCTGTGATCTGGATAATAAAATTAGCAGCTATACTAAGAATAATTGATATGTTAAACCCTATTGCATGGTCGTATATCTGAATAATCAAAACCTTGGTCTGATCAGGTAGAAGTGAAGCACTTCATCCTGCTGGTTGGAGCTTTTGAATGCACGATGCAAAATCAAAGGTGCAATGGAGCCAGAGACTGCTCTGAGAGTGCTAATGAATTGAAGTTCAACGTTTGTTTTAAAAATAATTGGTCACCTATCTATTTGGCAAAGATGTTGTGCTCAATGTAAATCTCAAAATACATATTAGGCCCTATATATATGGATATAGGGAGTACCGATGATGGTGAATCTCTTCTGCTTGTTCCTCGACTAGAGAATATACATTCTCTTTAGCTCCTATAACCTAGCCTTTGTAGGATTGCTTTAGATAGGAAGAATCGGCATGAGTCAGCCTTGCTATCATTTGTTGAATCAGCTTCAGTATCTTTTCTGAAACTGCCATTATCATCACTGATCTATTCTCCTTGAAACATTTTGCTTCTACATCAGTCTGCACATAAAATTCCAATCAATGAAAGGCCGGGACAGACGACCAATAAATAAATAAATAAATCTCTTGCTCTCTGCATTTTTGGGGGGTAACACACTGCATGCCTATATATATGTTAAGAAAATTAATGTTGGTGTGTCAACCATTTATAGTCGGGTTTCTATGTCTTTTTTCTTGGATCATTTGGTTTTTCCTTTTTGGTTTTTGTACCTTTTTCTGGTTTTCTTCTGTTTCTTCCATCTTTTGATTTCACTTTTCCGTTTTCTTCTTTCCTTTTCATCTTTATAAACATATCTTTATACATAAACATATTCAAATAAGTGGTGAATATTTTATAATACATGACATCTTTTTACAACACGATGAACATTTTCAATTTTTGACAGACATTTTATTAATAAAGGATGATTTTTTAAATAAACTTGTTCTAACTATATTTTTCAAGAAAATGTTTTCGAATTTTCCTAGTTTTTTAATAAAATTTCTCAAAAAAAAACTAAGGTTATTCGGTCGAGCTTGGGGGTATTTGCCCACCTCCTTCCAGCCCAGGCCCAGATCGGCTGGAGAAAGGCGTAACCTTGTCTCAAAAAAAAAAAGCGTAACCCCGTCCCCGGCAACGTCTCTGCTCTCTTCCACGCCGCCGGCGTCCCTCGCTCCTCCGTCCGCTTCTATCCTCCCTCCCGCCCACTTCCTCCGCCCGTTCCTATCCTTCGTGCGGCGTTCACATGGAAGAAAGAGAGAGGAAGGTGAGAAAGGCGGGCCGCGCGCTGACGTGCCCTGTTGCCTGACGACCCGTGAGCTGCGTGCGGTGGGGCGTCCACGGAGGCGGCGAGTCGGCTCCCGCCGACTGCACAGGGCGGCGAACTGGGCAGCGGTTTCCACGGGGGTGGCGAGATGGGCGCCTCAAACTGTCGAAGTGCGAAGTAAGTTTGGTTTAGAGGTCAAATTCCCCATCCGGAAAACGCAAGAAAAATGCCCGCGCGCCAACTCCGCCGCAGCAGCCACCACCTCACCATCGCCGCCGCTGCCGCCGCTAAATTCCACGCCACGCTGCTCAAGTCCGGCGTCACCTCCCCAACGCCCTGGAACCAGCTCCTCACCGCCTACTCCCTCACCCCACTCGGCCTCGTCGCCGCGCCCGCGCGCCAGGTGTTCGACCAAATCCCCCGCCCGGACGCTGCCTCCTGGAACTCCCTCCTCACCGCTTATGTCTCCGCCGGCGCGCACCCCGCCGCGTGCCGCCTCCTCTCGGCGCCCAGCTGCACTCGCTCACCGTCAAAGCCGGCCTTTCCGATAACATCTTCGCTGCGACCGCATTGCTTCACATGTATGCCAGATGTGGCCGCAGGAGGGACGCTCGTCAGGTGTTCGACGGAATGCCGGAACGGAACACCGTTTCTTGGAACGCCCTCGTTGCCGGTTACGTGGAATCTGGGAAGGTTGCTCCAGCAGTTCAGCTGTTTGTTGAGATGGAAAGGGAGGGGTTACGTCCAGACGAGGCAACATTCGCCGTGTTGCTCACAGTGGTCGATGACTCGAGTTGCTTCTTGATGGACCAGCTGCATGGGAAGATTGTCAAATATGGATCAGCGTTGGGCTTGATAGTGTTGAATGCAGCAATCACTGCCTACTCGCAGTGTGGGGCCCTGGTAAATTGTAGAAGGATCTTTGATGAAATTGGGGACAGACGGGATTTGATATCATGGAACGCAATGCTTGCAGCTCACGCTTCCCATGGGATGGAGCAGGAGGCAATGGGATTCTTTGTTACCATGATGCAGGCGAGTGGAGTTCAGCCTGACATGTATAGTTTCACAAGTATCATAAGTGCGTGCGCGGAGCATCGCGACCACGGAGGGACAGTAATTCATGGTTTGGTGATCAAGAATGGCTTCGAAGGAGTCACGCCTGTTTGCAATGCTCTAATTGCCATGTACACTAGATTTAGTGAGAACTGCATGATGGAGGATGCATACAAGTGCTTTGACTCCTTGCTGCTCAAGGACACTGTCTCCTGGAATTCTATGTTAACTGGGTATTCACAGCACGGTTTGGGTATTCACAGCACTGGAATGCTCTAATGGTGCTGATGCCTTGAGATTCTTCAGCTGTATGCAGTTAGAAAATATTAGAACTGACGAGTATGCATTCTCTGCTGCCCTGCGTTCATGCTCAGACCTTGCTTTACTTCGGCTAGGTAGACAAATACACGGTTTAGTCATCCATTCTGGTTTTGCTTCCAACAATTTTGTTTCCAGCTCGCTGATCTTCATGTATTCTAAGAGCGCCATTCTGGATGATGCAATGAAATCTTTTGAGGAGGCAGATAAGACTAGCTCTGTGCCCTGGAACTCTATTATGTTTGGTTATGCCCAGCATGGACAGGCTCAAGCTGTGTGCAGCCTCTTCGATCAGATGCTGGAGCTTAAGGTTCCTTCGGATCATATTACATTTGTTGGCCTGATTACCTCCTGCAGTCATGCTGGCCTTGTGGACGAAGGTTCAGAAATCCTCAATACAATGGAAAGTAGGTATGGGATTCCTCTTCGGATGGAGCATTATGCATGCGGCATTGATCTGTTTGGGAGGGCTGGGCAGCTTGACAAAGCAAAAGAGCTTATTGACTCTATGCCATTTGAACCAGATGCCATGGTGTGGATGACCCTATTAGGTGCTTGCAGAATCCATGGGAATATGGAACTAGCGAGTGATGTGGCCAGCCATCTGTTGGAGGCAGAGCCTAGACAGCACTCCACCTATGTTCTCCTCTCCAGCATGTATTCTGGTCTTGGGATGTGGAGTGATAGAGCAATCGTGCAGAAGGAAATGAAGAATAAAGGATTAAGCAAAGTCCCTGGTTGGAGCTGGACCGAGGTGAAGAATGAGGTGCACTCTTTCAATTCAGAGGATGGGGCGCACCCAAGGATGGAGGAAATATATGAGACGTTGAGTTTGTTGCTTCACAATTTCCCCATGCAGTTGGTGCATGAAGAAACAACTGGAGCCATTAACTGCGGTATGCAATTCGCCTCTTAATATTTTTATTATCAACTTGTTACATTTATGCGCATCAATTCTACTCTTCGACATTATAACCACTGTCTGTTTATTCACACATGATAATTTGGTTGGCCGCAGAACTATCAAATTATGGGCATTAACCAGCCAGCCTTTGTTGGAGATGATTGAGCACACTTCTCTTGCATATTCTGTCGATGCACATTCATCTGCTCTGATCGCTAGTGGCAGTGAAGACCGCTCTGCTATTATATGGAAAGGTGAGTGTCAAGGGTGCAGTTATGATTACCATTCCTTTGTCCTGTTTTTGAGGATAGTACTTGTTTGGATTTACAATCGTCCTAGAAGGCAATTACAGAGCCAAAATATGAAATCAGTGGATGCCCGTCTGGTGGATGACAGCTCTAAGTCCCAGCGCACCGGCACTAGCCCAAAGGGTTGCCTCTTCCTTGATCTTCGTCACCAGGGCATGGACCGAGAGACGGCCTCTGTCGAAGATGCAGTCGTTTCGGTGTTTCCAAAGCATCCAGGGGACGAGCAGAGTCACGGTGGCGAGGCCTTTGTGCATCGGCTTGGGGGTAAGCTGCCTCTCGCGGAGTGCCACCAAGGCTGGTTGGAGCTTTTGAATGCCTGAAAGAGCAGGCGCGCAGTGGAGCCAAAGGTTACGTTGATGCTGCAACATGAACTGAACTCAACATTTTATAACTCTGGTTATCTATCTGTTACTGTTTGGCAAAGAAGTGTTGTTAAGTAGTCTGAACTTTGTATATGGGCAACAAACTTTAAAACGACCAGTTGATGGAACCAGCGGGTTGCGGCCCGCCTCTTTGTTGGAGCTTCGGCAATGGGCCTCGTTGGGTTTCGGCCACCAAGGCTGTGGCTGGGCTTGCCCTTTTCAGGCCTGACGATGGGGAAAGGTCACGGGTGGCGTCGTCAGAGTGACTCTCTGGTTGGATGGATCATGGATGGTTGTGCGTAGGCGCCGCCGTGCCCCTGCGACAGGAGGATTCGCTAGCAGCGGCGCTGCTGTGCAGCAGGATGGGGAGCTGACGTGGTCCACTATGAGGTGGTGGGCGCCGGTGGTGCTGTCCGACGAGCAGGTGGCGGGGGCAACTCAGCCGTCTTCTCCATCATCCGCCAGCGCCGCCCCGGTCAGAGTACGTCCTGGACCCACCACATCCGCACCCAGGCCCCATTCTCATTCCGCTTGCTCCATTCACTCTTTGATCGCTAATTTTGCTACAGTAGTAATTTTGGAATCTGCACAATTTTTGGGGTACATACTGTATTTGCTTTGCTTGATGGGAGTATCATTCTAATTCAGTTCCAGCATAATAATGTATTTACAAGTACCCCAAGTTCTCTGTCAGTACACATCTCTGAATTACTTAAGCAACACAAACCATTGTTAGGTCCAGTAAAAGCATAGCATAGCCAGCAGAACTCATTTTGATTCCACAGAAATTGTTAGTGCCTGATGATGATCTCACAGAAATTGACTCAGGGATCTTCTGTCTTCCATTTCGATAGTACTGATAATATTGCCTCATTCACTACGCAGTTCATATACATCAGGTGCCAGTTGTGTAACGCCAAAGGCAGGGCACTTGGAGCCTAACGTAGGTTATGCCGGCCGATGGTCAACCTTGTAAGAAGTCTTAGGAAGCTGCCAGGCCTCAAAATATCCATAGAAGATGGCGACATTTAGTCCCAGTTAACCAATGGGTGCCCATCAGAAAGGCCTTTATTATAGTATAATGTAGTACATTGTGCAGCAAGTTAGGCTAGTGTGAAACCATGATATCGTATCACAAAGAGTCTTTTGGTTCTAGTTAGCTTCCAAACAAACAGCCAATTTTTCAGAATTGTACGGCACTTGCTTCCGGAAAATACCAGGATGCTCTTGGGTCCTGGTTTATGCCTTTCCTTCCCGGCACAACCTTTAATAAGAGGCGGATATATCTAGGTACAACTAATTGTGTTGGTGTTTCTTAACATCAGACGTGGCATCAATTGTATCGTACCATTCATTAGCCAGCTTAGCTGCCAGCTAACAGGTCGGTCTGCTGAATAATCCAAGGTTCAACACATGCCGCTGGATCCATTGATCACGATGTGCGAGTTAGTTTAATCCCATACAAGTTGCATGTAATCTCATAACATGACAGGGTTAGAGAACTAATTATTTTTCCTTTGGCTTATTTCCCCTTCAGCAGTACTGGCGTACTACAAGTTGCTACACAGGAGCTAGAGCAGGACCCAACATCCATCCACCTTATTGAAGGTAATTTTGCATCTCTCTCTTTACGTTCAGCTCGTTTTGCTTGCATCTGTCCATCTAGGTAGTTTGCCCATGCTTATGAATTATACCTCGTTCCTCATCTGTCCATCTTAGGATTCTAGTGCTGCTTTTTTCAATAATTTTGGTTGGCAATCATCAGCTGCAACAAGTGGCGGGGATGATTATGATATGTGGTAAAAATTTGTTACAGCAGAAACATAGCAAACATGGCGATGGTCCTGGATGCCTTTGCATCCTACGTGCTAAACATGCTAACGGAGATGGCGAGGGAAGAGGTACACATGCTGTTTGGATTCAGACGGGAGATTGACAAGATGGACATTAAGCTTAGGGACCTCAAGAACTTCCTCGCTGACGCTGACAGGAGAAACATCACCGACAAGAGCGTGCAAGAGTGGGTGGGCCAGCTCAAGCGTTCCATGTACGAAGCTGCTGATATACTCGACCTCTGCCAGCTCAAGGCCATGGAGGGTCGTTCGTCCACTTTAGATGTGGGGTGCTTCAACCCCTTGCTCTTTTGCATGCAGAATCCCTCCCATGCCCATGACATCGGCACCCGCATCAAGGCACTCAACAAGAGGCTCGACACCATCACGGAGCGAAGCGCTGCTTTCAGCTTCATCAATATCGGTTCATATGAGGATCGTAGCAGCAAAGTGCAGGTCACCCGTTCTGCTAATCCCAGCCGTGAGACGACAGGGGAATTTGACCGGCCAGGTGTAGTTGGGGAGAAGATCAAAGCAGACACAAGAGCACTAGTTGAGACCATGTTAGCTGAAAAGAGGGCAACACCAACATCATGGTGGTGGCCATTGTTGGTGTCGGCGGGATTGGCAACACTACTCTTGCCCAGAACGTCATCAATGATGAAACCATGAAGGCCGAGTTCGACAACACAATATGGTTAAGCATCAACAAGGACTTTGACAAGGTTGAGTTACTAAGAACAATCATCACGCTCGCCGGGGGTGTACATGGAGGTGAAAAGGCATTGGTTGTGCTTCAGTCGGTCCTCACCACTGCCTTGAAAGGAAAGAAGCTATTCCTGGTACTAGATGATGTATGTAATCATGGAGCATGGCTTGATGTGCTTAAAACGCCCTTGGATAATGTTGTGGCTCGAGGTAGCCGAGTCCTCATCACTACTAGAGATGAAAAAGTAGCCCGAGGGATGAAAGCTGAGCTTCCCTACCACCATGTCAACAAATTAGAGGAGGAGGATGCCTGGTCGTTGCTCAAGAAACAGGTGCGTAACGAAACTACATGCATCTTTAATAACTACTAGTTCCATGCTTAATTTGGAGCAAGCTAATAAGGCACACATGGTGGGATGTCTCTTATTGCATGATGGGTGCTTATATAGAACCTTCTCAATGCATGGTTTTTTGAGCGTTTTATCTTAGCCCTTTATCTAGTATATATGTATGGTGCCACCTCAGATGTTGCCTAGGGACTTGTGATAACTAGGGTGCCACATTTGAGTTTTCCTGCATTACGATGCTAAGAACATGTCCACCGTACCTTTCTTTGGAGCCTAGGAGTGGCCTGACGCCATCTTTATTTTTGAGGTTGCAAGATGGATACTACAAGATACAACACATGGGCACTATAATTTTGCCACCACACACTATTAACCTATATATTCCCACATGTATCATTTTTTGAGCCGTCACGTAGGAAATACACTATAGCAAGCGCAAGCCCAAGCCAGAAGAAGGATATAGCCCGCACTCTGCGGGCTGGTAGCAGTTGATCAAGTCTGGACTCATACCAGATTGATAGGTTCATATCATGTCAGGATATATAAGAGCATCTCTAGCCCTTTTCGTAAAACTAAACTCTCTATACCACCTTAGTAACTTAACTATATGTTTGATAGGAAAGTATTTCAGAAACCAAAGTATTGAAAACTATAGTATTTTAGCCAGTAGGTATGAAACACCAAAGTTTCAGCATATTAAAGTATCTTGAAGTATTGTGAATACCGTGACCTGTTTCTCTATGCTGTATGCGGAATCGGCAATGTAAATTAGTTCTAGCTGTTGATAACGCATGTATTCCTAACTAGCTGGCCGCTGAAAACCGAACAGCCATGCACAAAAACCAGCATGTACAAACTGAACGCATGAAGACCACCGTAGGAAAAAATCGCACGAGCAAGAGGAGCAACAGTCGCACGCCTATGTAGTGTGTAGCAAGCTCAACCAGCAGGATCTGCTCGCTCGGTTCCTCTCGGCTGACGCGACGGGGCAGGAGGGGGGAAAATTTTTTTAGTGGTAGCAACTGACGGTAATTAGAACCATGGTAATCTTAAAAACTGTAGTAATCTTAGAATACTTCGAAAAAACCGAGCTATCAAACGGGACCTGTGTTTAATCAGTTTAGGTAGTACATTAACTGGTATTTTATTATTTCTCTTTTATTTATAAATTTATTATTGACTAACATTGAATTGGCACTAAGCGCCCAGTAATTGCTATTTTTCCTATAAAGGCCAACTTCTCTGCATTGACTGTCGGTTAAACCTGCTTGCAGATTGTCTCAAGTAAGACAAATGGACATGAAATTGATATGCTCAAGGATATTGGGTTGCAAATTGTAGCAAAATGTGATGGTTTGCCTCTTAGTATCAAAGTAATGGGAGGGCTCTTGTGCCAAAAGGACAATAAGCGCCGTGACTGGGAGATGGTTCTGGATGATTCTATATGGTCAGTATCTGGAATGCCTGAAGAGTTAAATCATGCAGTATATTTAAGCTATGAAGATTTACCTTCCAGCATCAAACAATGTTTTCTATGCTACTCCCTTCTCCCAAAAGCTGCATTGTTTAGAAGAGACAACATAATTGCCATGTGGATTGGTGAAGGATTTCTTCACGGAACCTCAGATGACTTAGAAGAACTAGGTAGCAAGTACTATAAGGAGCTGATACTAAGAAACCTTATAGAGCCTGATGCATACTACGTTGATCAACGTGTTTGCAACATGCATGACGTTGTACGCTCATTTGCTCAATATGTGTCTAGAGATGAGGCACTAGTAGCTCACAGTGGAGAAACTGATGTTGTTACTAAACTTCATGTACATGAGTTTCTTCAGATATCTGTAGAAAACAAAGCATCGGAATCAGATGGGTTGGACTGGAGCTCTTTACAAGCACAAAAGACATTGAGAACACTAATGTCGGTTGGACACTTAAATATGAAGCCTAGTGATTCGTTGGGTAATTTTCCATGTCTACGAACTTTATGCATAGAATCTGCACATGTTGCATTGGTTCGATCTGTGCATAAACTCAAGCACCTGAGGTACTTGTCCTTAGAAAACACCGATATATCTAGTCTGCCAGATAGCATTGGAAAGATGAAATTCTTGCAGTATATTAACCTTGCTGGATGCAAACAATTTGTTAAACTACCAGATAGCATTGTAAAGTTAGCGCAGCTAAGGTATCTTAACTTCAACAACACAAGTATAAATGGCATACCTAAGGGGTTCCGTGATCTGGCAAATCTGAGGATAATAGATGGGTTTCCAGCCCGGATGGATGGTGAGTGGTGTAGTTTGGAAGAGTTGGGCCCTCTTTATCAGCTCAAGCATGTTGGAATACAAGGGTTGGAAAATGTAACTGCTTCCTTGTCCGCAGCAAAGGCAAAGCTTAGTGAGAAGGTGCATATTACGCACCTAAACTTAAAATGCAGTAGTGTATTGGGGGACAATGGGATGATTGAAGAGGAAGAGCAACAACGAATTGAGGTGGTGTTTGATGAGCTCTGCCCTCCGCCCAGGTTAGAAATTCTGTTCGTTGAAGGATATTTTGGCCGACGGCTCCCAAGGTGGATGATGTCATCAGATTTGCCCCTCAATAGCTTGAGGATTCTGTTCATTTGCGACCTGGCTTGCTGCACACAGCTTCCTGATGGCTCGTGTCAGCTCCCTTATCTGGAGTTCATTCAGATCGAGCGTGCTCCAGCCATCAAGCGTGTTGGATCTGAATTCATGCAGTCCTGCCATCAAAGTCCTCATTCTTCCAAGATGGTGCCTGCGTTTCCGAGATTGCAAAAGATGAATTTAATAGGAATGGTGGAATGGGAGGAGTGGGAGTGGGAGGAGCAAGTGCAAGCCTTTCCTGTCTTGCAGGAACTTTTCCTAGAGCACTGCAAACTGAAGTGTCTTCCTCCTGGCCTTGCCTCCCAGGCAAGCGCTTTGAATAATTTACACATATACTATGTCCACAGTCTCATCTCTCTAGCGAACTTCCCATCTCTGGTCGAGCTGAAACTGAATGAAATCCTTGACCTGGAGATGATCACTAATCTTCCAAGACTGCAGAAGCTTACCATTGAAGACTGCCCAAAGTTGAAGGCGTTGGAAGGTGTTCCTGCACTCCAGAGGCTCATACTCACGGATAAAGACATGGAGACGCTCCCAGAATACATGGGATGCATAAACCCAAGGCATTTTGAGCTATACTGCAGCCTAGCACTGCTCGCTTCCATAGCCGCAGCACAATCTGGCCCTGAGTGGGACAAGTTCAACCATATTGAGCATGTCAAGGCATATGCATGTGGAGATGATAATTCAAGGAAATGGTACGTCTTGTACACAGCTAACCCCTACAACTTGGAGACAAATGTCGGCCTCTCTTTCTTGTCCAGAGGTAATTTAGCATTGCTCGTTCATCTTAATTTTTCTGTTTATATTCTGGTTATTTGAACTATTCTCTTTGTTTTTCTACCTTTCATCAGCATCTATTACTAGTTTTTTCTCTGAAGAAAATAGATGAGTAGCTTTTTATCATTTTGTAATGCCTATTTGTTGACCAATGCTACTCTCTGATTTGGCCGGAGTCCCTCATTTGCTAAGTTTATGTTGTTCTAATTTGTTCACTACTTTCCCCTACTTAACATCTGAGCTGCTCTTATGGATTGTGTAACCGCTTTTACGTTTTTTTCTTATGCAGGAACCTTAACTTTTTTAGAGGACACCCAAAGATTCGAGTCTCTCTTCAAAATGACAAGAAAGACCTTTAGCTACATCTGCAGCTTGGTGATGGGGCCGTCAATGGAAGATATGAACAGCTGCACCTTTATTGATGGGAGGGTGCTATCTTTACAAGATCGAGTAGTTGTTGCTTTGAGAAGGTTGCAATGTACTGAGCCAACAGAGACCATAGCATCCTCTGTTGGTGTGAGCGAGTCAACAGTCTTGTTGGTAACTGAGAGGTTTGCTGCTGCTGTGTGGCAGGAAGCAGATCACCACTTCCTCTGGCCAGACTCCAGACAAACGGATAAGATCAAATCCATGTTTTACAAGATCCACAATATGCATAACTGTTGCGGTGTTATATGTACAATTGACACTACATTTGGACCAAACTGTGACCATGAGAAGATTGAGAGCACTCAGATGCAAGTCATCGTTGATCCAGAGATGAGGTTCAGGAACATTTGGTTTGGACCGGCAGGTAGATTAAACCACTTAAACAGATTGTACGACTCTGAGCTCTTCCAGGAGTGCGAGAAGGGCACTTGGCTGAATGGCAGCAAGCTGAAGGTAGCATTAGATGGACCAGAAGTCGGGGAATACATAATTGGTGATGCAGGATATCCTCTTCTCCCCTGGCTACTCACACCTTACCATGAAGAAGACCACTCAGATTACAAAGCGGAATTCAATAGGAGACACTCGGCAGCCACAACCTGTGCTATGAAGGCAGTCGCAAGGCTCAAAGACACGTGGAAGTGCCTGCAGGGAGAGATGCCAAGCCCCGTCAATCCAAACACTCTAATTCAAATTATCTATGGCTGCTGCATGTTACATAACATAGTCATAGAAATGGAGGATGATGCAGCCATGCTGAGCAGCAAGTGGAGGAATTACTCCAAGGAAGTGCGCCAGTTAGCGAAGGAGGACGCTGTCAGGGCGAGGGATATGCTATCACAATACTTCTTGGCTAGCAGGTCATCTGAATCTGGAGGTGAATTACCATAACTTCTCCTACATCTTAATTTGATATTTTGGTTGCTCTCTTCACTAATTTGTCATATTTTATTTCCTCCCGGTGGATGCAGAGCAGGATGATGAAGCAGCTTGAAACCAAGAGACAAGAAGCGCATACAAGAACAGAAGATGAAGAGATCATTAACTAGGTACTACTGCTACCCCGCTGTGCTTGGAGTCCTGATCCTGCTATTGAAACTGCTATCCTAGTCCTGTTCCCACAAGTTAAAGTCCTACTACCCCGCCATCAGGAAATATCAGAGTTCTCTTCTTCTTGGATTGTTCTTTTGATATGGCACTAATGCTAGAAAGAATATTTAACTGATTAACTCCCTTGGTTACTACTATATTTTAATTACCTAACTCCCAAAGCTTGGTCATTGATACAGCTATTTGCAAATGTGTCAACTGAGACTGTATTGTCAAATGGTTGATTTATCAACATTGGTGATCTGGTTAATAAAGTTAGCGACTGTACTATGCACGGAAATGAAAATTCTTGATATATTAAACCCCCCTGGTGCATGGTCAGGTGGAAGGGAGGCCTTCATCCTGATGGTTGGAGCCTTTGGATGCATGAATGAACACAGAGCAGCCCCGGCAATTGACGAAGCGACAACTTAGATGCTGCAGCATGAGTTTAAGTTGAACATTTTCTTATGTTTCATCATCTATGTATTATGAAAAGAGAAATATTATGTAGTCTGTACTTTATGACTGTACGAGCAATAAGCTTTTGAGTGTCAAAAAAAGACAACAATGTCGCGCAGATGCAGAGATACTGACTGTATTCTCCATCCATCAGTAAGTTGGTTCAAATTGAAGAATTTGCAAACACAATGTCAGTGAGCCCTGTGTATTTATGTCAGGTGTATATATGTTTGGAGCAGTAATCCTATTCAATGGAACCCTGGTAGTAGTAAACCGGAGTTCAGAAATCAACATTGCTGGCCAACTTTTGCTAGGTTGCCGCATCACAGTCATCCACTGTGGATTTATGTGCAGTTTCTGCTACCACAACTTGGTGATAAAAAAAGGCCAATGAAGTGGCCGTTTCAAGCAAAATATAACAAATTCCGCACACTGAATTCATTTGGCCGATTCTCTACACTGAATTTGTATGCCTATCACAAATTCACAAGCAAATGAACTGCTAACAAAGTGCCAATTCAGTCCAGAGAATGTATATGACTATCACAAACAAATAAGTACTGACGATCCTACAATTAACTGGGCAAACGCGACTCTAACAAATGAAATTATGGTATATATATTATCCAAAACGGAATGCCAAATGAATCACAATGGTGCAAAACACTGAAGAATTGTTGCCTCTGCTTTTTCTAGTATCACAATGGTGCCAAATGAGTCCTGTATATTTATGGCAGGCAATCTTTAGTGAGAAACTCAAAAACAAATACACCTGAAGCTGAATTGCAAATAGTGTAGAGAGCAATGTTACCTGGAGCTCCTTCTTTTTCAGTGTACACTACATTAATAGAAGCACATCTTATTGGACCAACTGATTCCCACATCGATCGGCATGTAAAATGTAGTACTCCCTTCGTAAACTACTATAAGAGCGTTTAGAATACTAAAGTAGTGATCTAAACGCTCTTATATTAGTTTACGGAGGGAGTACATTTCTGTGGTGGTAGTAGATGCACCTTTCCCCTGCCTGCATGGGTCCAAAAGGACATGAACATACACATGTTTATTTATTTTTCCTGAACTTCTTGACATTGGCAAAATTATCTTTTACAGACAGGAGACCGCTTTCGCGTTAGAAATACACACTTGGTGGTAATGACCTCATCAGAATATATTGTACTCCCTCCGTTCCTAAATATTTGTCTTCTAGAGATTTCAACAAGTGACTACATATGAAGCAAAATGAGTGAATCTACACTCTAAAATATGTTTATATACATTCATATGTGGTAGTCCATTTAAAATCTCTAAAAAGACAAATATTTAGAAATGGAGGGAATATATGGCTTTCTGCAAGACTATGGCCTTCAGTTGCTTGACCCCTTCTTGCCCTAACATGCATGGTTGAAGGATTTTGCTCAACAGCCTTATTACTAGCATTTCTTGAATCAGCTTCGGCATCTTTTCTAATACTGCCATTATCATCACTGGATCTGTTTGCCCCGAAATGCTCCACTTCTGCATCAGTCTGCACATAGGATTCCACTCAATTAAAGATCAGGACAGATGAGAGAAAGAAAAAATCAATCTCCTACTCTATGTATAAGCTGTGCGTACCAACATATGGGCATTTTTTCCTTTAAAATATAGCATTTGCAAGCCACCTTCTGGCCTCACAAGTAAAAACAACTATTTAAAATGGCAGTCGGCACATAACAAGTGAAAATTGTTGAAATATAGATGGCTTTAGGCGTATAAAACAATTACAAAAAAACCTCTAAAGGCCTATGTGGGTGTCCTGATTAGGTGGTGGGAAGTTTAGTACCACATCAGGACTGGAGGAAGTTTTGGACCTCCTTAAAAGGGATTCTCTTCTACATGCTATTGAATCATGAGGACAGTGGTTCCCGCGCGTTCCTCCTCCACCGTACCGAGCTCAGACCTATATCATGCACGCGCTTAATTTTTGTGGTCTGGAATGGATAACTAATGTGCGATTAATTACAACTCAATATTTTTACAATGTTAACATACAGATAGAGAAAAATAATAATGTTGTCGTAACTTTTCTTCTTCACTTTCTTAATAACTATTTCTTCCCATGCTCACTTTAATTCTTCTATTGATGTTGCCCATAGTTGGACCAAGAACTCCCAAACTCCCTTGGAAGAATTTTTTTCCTTAGGGTTGTAGTTCCCCACTATACTCTCGCCGTGGCTTTTCGGTTGGGCATACCCTGTCCCTACCCTAGCCCCTGGTTGTCGCGTCAGGCACTGTTCGGCCCCTACCCTCCACCCTGGGGCATAGCTAGCCCATGTAACCCTAGACCTTATAATTTATACTATACCCTAGATTTGTTTACTCTAAAATATACCTCTATTTGCTACTTGGTGATACTAGTCTCGAGCAAACATTTATGTAGGGGTGAAAATCTTATCAAATTGGCGACGTGGGACTAAAAACATCCAGGTATAGTGGGTCAATCATATTTGACGCCTTAAGTGTCAAATTGACGGTGAAACACACAGGCGCATGTGTGTTTGGGCCGAACATTTACACTTTATTTTATATGTCCTTTTTCTTCAGTTTTTATTGGTTCTTTTGGGTTTTGTTCTTTTTTCTTTTTGCTTTCTTCTTTTTTTTTGATTTTTGCAGAATTCTCTTTCCGTTTTATTCCTTTATTTTACTTTTAAACACATTTTTATACATAAATATTATTTCAATAAACGGTGAATATTTTTTACATACACGACAAACTTTTACAATACGGTGAACATCTTCAAAATATAGAAAATATTTCTATTAATAAGCGACGAACTTATTTTTTTTAAATCAAGTCTTAAACTTGTTTAACAATAATTTTCAAGTTCTTTTTGTTTTTTTACAAAATTTCTGAAAACAAGAAAAATCATGCTTTGGGCAGCCAATATTTGACGCCACTCGCGGTGGTCGCCACCTCCCTCCAGCCCAGGCCCAGGTCGGCTGAAGAAAGAAGGCTCGGCCCTCTCAACGGCGGCCCAGGCTACACGTCTGCTCTCTTCCACACCGCCGGCGTCCCTTGCTCCTCCGTCCACTTCTATCCTCCCTCCCGGCGACTTGCTCCGCCCGCTCCTATCCACCGTGCGGCGCTCGCATGGATGACGGGCCGCGCGGTGTCGTGCCCTGTCGCCTGACGACGGAGGCGGCACCGTCAGCTGCGTGCGGTGGGAGGTAGAGAAGAAATGCCCGCGCGCCGCTACCCTCTCACCATCGCCGCCGCCGTTGCCGCTAAATCCCACGCCACGCTGCTCAAGTCAGGCGTCACTTCCCCCACGCCCTGGAACCAGCTCCTCACCGCATACTCCCTCTCCCCGCTCGGCCTCGTCGCCGCGCGCCAGGTGTTCGACCAAATACCCCGCCCGGACGCCGCCTCCTGGAACTCCCTCCTCACCGCGCACGTCTCCGCCGGCGCGCATTCCGCCGCATACCGCATCTTCCAAGCCATGCACGAGCAGGGACTCGCCGCCAACACCTTCGCCCTCGGCCCCACTCTCCGCTCCGCTGCTGCCGTGGGCTGCCCTGCTCTCGGCGCCCAGCTGCACTCGCTCATCGTCAAAGCTATCCTGGCCGACAATGTCTTCGCTGCGACCGCATTGCTTCACATGTATGCCAAATGTGGCCGCAAGAGGGATGCTCGTCGGGTGTTCGATGGAATGCCGGAGCGGAACACTGTTTCTTGGAACGCCCTCGTTGCTGGTTATGTGGAGTCTGGGAAGGTTGCTCCAGCAGTTCGGCTGTTTGTTGAGATGGAGAGGGAGGGGTTGCTTCCTGATGAGGCAACATTCGCGGCGTTGCTCACAGCGGTCGATGACTCCAGTCATTTCTTGATGCATCAGCTGCATGGGAAGATTGTCAAATATGGATCGGCATTGGGTTTGATAGTGTTGAATGCAGCAATCACTGCCTACTCACAATGTGGGGCCCTGGCAAATTCTAGAAGGATCTTTGATGAAATTGGGAACAGAAGGGATTTGATCTCATGGAACGCAATGCTTGGAGCTTACGCTTCCCATGGGATGGAGCATGAGGCGATGGGATTCTTTGCTAACATGATGCGAGCGGGTGGAGTGCAGCCTGACATGTATAGTTTCACAAGTATCATAAGTGCGTGCGCGGAGCATCGTGATCAGGGAGGGACAGTAATTCATGGTCTGGTGATCAAGAATGGCTTTGAAGGAGTTACGCATGTTTGCAATGCTCTAATTGCCATGTACACTAGATTTAGTGAGAACTGCATGATGGAAGATGCATATAAGTGCTTTGATTCCTTGCTGCTCAAGGACACCGTCTCCTGGAATTCTATGTTAACTGGGTATTCGCAGCACGGCTTGAGCGCTGATGCCTTGAGATTCTTCAGATGTGTGCAGTCAGAAAATATTAGAACTGACGAGTATGCATTCTCTG